GGTGGACAGCAGCAGCAGTCTTGTTGTCAAGAGTCTCTCTCTCGTTCAGCGGTTTAGCACTAGTCGCGGTGCTAGAGGCGCTGGAGCTGAGGGTCCTGGTACTGGCGGTGCTGGTACTGGAGGTGCTGGTGCTGGAGGTACTGGAGGCACTGGAGCTGTAGGTAGTGGTGCTGGAGGTGCTGGAGGTACTGGAGGTACTGGAGCTAAAGGTGCTAGAGGTGCTGGTGCTGGAGGTACTGGAGTTGGAGGCTCTGGTACTGTGGGTGCTCCACAGAGGCGACAGTTTTTCTTGCCGCAACCACAGTCGTCACTACCATCAACTGGCTTGGCGCTTCACCATGTTCTTAGTCTTCCGTCTTCCACTGGCCTTAATCCTCCCTCACTATGTCTACTGCCTGACCCGCCTTAGACACAGTTACCGCCGGACTCCTCACTGCCTGCTCCTTCTCCTAACACTGAGCACCCAGACTCCGTGAAAGAGCGCCGTGAGCCTGCGTCTCGTCCTACCTTGCCTGTTTGCACTTTTCATTGTGCTTGTCGTGTTCCTTGTCCTCGTCCTCCACCAATCCCTGGCACTCACACTATGACTCTTCTTCTTTCCTCTGTTCCCCAACGTGTTTCTTTGCCGTCTCCTCCCGGGTCCTCCCTTCCTGGCGTTCCTTACCCTAAGTCTAACCTTGCCAGCTAGTCGTACTGTCACACGTGTTCTAGCTACACTTGTTAGTGACCCTACTTTTGGGATTTCCGCTACCTGTGACTGAGCTTGAGTGTGCCCTTGGCACGGACGTCCTTGAGAACAGGCAGTTTGAGCTCGAGTGTCTTGCGGCTGATGTACCTCATCTCGCTGCCATGCTGCTTGCCCCTGAAGGGGACTCGGATGCACTAGACATCTCAACTACGCGCTCTTACTCAGAGGCGATCATGGGTCAGAACTTCTCTTAGTGGAAGATAGCCATGGACGCAGAGATGGCATCCTGGAAGTTCACAGGCATTTATGTCAATGCAGTTCCCGCACCCGCGACGAACATAGTCGATGGCATGTAGGTTTTCAGGGTGAAGCGGCCGCCGGGTTCTCCGCCTGTCTTCAAGGCGTGTTACGATGCACGAGGCTTCAGTCAGCGATACGGGGTCGACTTTTTCCAGACCTTCTCCCCCACCCCAAAGATAACCAATCTTTGGGTGCTACTGCACGTTGCAGCACATTGTAACTATGAGCTCCACTCGATTGACTCCAGCACAGCTTTCTTGCAGAGCAGCCTACACGAGGAGATCTGGTTGCGCCGCCCTCTTGGCTTCACTTGGTTGTTTCCTGAGGGTACCAAGTGGAGCATCCGGCAGCCAGTCTACGGTCTTCGCCAGGCGCCTCGTGGGTGGGTCAACACACTGAGGACGTCGCCTTGCGGCTCTTGGGTTTGCTCCTTCGACTTCTGACCCATCACTGTTTCTACACACCGACACTTCTCTGCCGCCGTTCTACATCCTTGTGTATGTCGACGATTTGGTCTTTGTTACTGCAAACACTGAGGCACTTGCCCTTGTGAGGTTGGAGCTGTAGAAGAGACACACCTGCACTGACCATTGTGAGTTGTACACCTATCTTGGCTTGCAGATCACTCTGGACAGAGCACGGCGCACCATCACCTTGACTCAGTCACACATGGTGCACAAGGTCCTTCAACGCTTTGGCTTCTAGTTCTCCTCGCCACAATCCACTCATCTGCCTACAGGCCACTCGCTCTCAGCTCCACCTTTGGATGTGTCCGTAGAGCCGAGTGGCCAGTCTCCAGAGTTGTGGGTTGCCTCATGTACCTGATGACCTGAACTCGACCTAATCTCGCGTACCCTGTCAGCATCATGGCACGCTACGTTGCGCCTGGGAGACACCGACCAGAGCACTGGCCGGTCAAGCTTAGAAGCTAGAATGATTGCATTGACCCTAACATTGGGCTGTACCCCATACGGGCTACCCCACTATAGCCTACGCAAAACTAGCTCATATATAGTTTGACAAACCCCCATAGGCAAAGTGGAGGGGAACAAGGGGTCAGAAGACCAGTCAAGAAGAGCAAAGCAAGCCCAGGGTGGATCACAACGTCACCACACACTCCGAGCACAAGCAAAGGGCCACAAGGCCAGTTCACATGCAGAGGTATATATGCAACAACAACAGTACCGTGATCACTACCTAGCAAGAGTAGGCATGCAGGTATGCAATATAGATAACAGTACAAGCAAAGTCAAGAAGTGAGCAAGTGAGACCAAGTAGGTACAAGACCTAGCACAGTACAGAACCGCTGATGATCACACGGTTGAAGTGCTTTGGTTAAGCTATCAGCGGTGTTGGCCCGAGAGGCCACGCAAGCAAGACAAAGCTGTCCACGCCGCTGCAACTCTTGAGCAAGGAAGTAGCGCAGAGCGATGTGCTTCATCCTGTGCTCCAGTATGTGCTCCTGACATAAGGCAATCATGGCCTTGTTGTCGACGCACAGAACTGGAGTAGAACGAGGCGCCTCTCCCAAGTCGGTCAGCAGGTAGGTGAGCCAACGTAACTCTTGTGCAGCTATGGCTCCTGCGTAGATTTCAACCTCACAATTGGAACTGAGAACAGAAGACGAATGGGTAGACCGCCAAGAGAAAGAGCCGGAGCCAAGACTGAAGGTGTAGCCCTGTGACGACCGCTGCATAGCCAAGTCGTCAACCAAAGAAGCGTCTGCGTGGCCAGCGAGGACAACTCGAGCTCGTCCTCCAAGCACGAGCCCCATGCTCGATGTACTACACAACTAGCGCATCACCCTCTTAGCGGCCTCCCAGTGCTCTGGTCGGTGTCTCCTGGGCGCAACGTAGCGTGCCAAGATGCTAAGAGGGTAAGCAAGGTCAGGACAAGTGCAGGTCATCGGGTACATGAGGCAGCCCACAAGCTTTGGATACGGGCCACTCAGCTCTACGAACTCATCCAAAGGCAGAGCTGAGAGCGAGTGACCGGTAGGCAGAGGAGTGGACTGTGGCAAGGAGTACGTAAATTAAAAGCGCTGAAGGACCTGCTGCACCATGTGTGACTGAGTCAGGGTAATGGTGTGCTGTGCTCTGTCTCGAGTGATCTGGAAGCCAAGATAACTGCGCAGCTCTTCCAACTATGTGCACGTGTGTCTCTTCTGCAGCTCCGACTTCACATGGGCGAGTCTGTCAGTGTCAGCAAAGGCGAAGATCAAGTTGTCGACATGTAAAAGGATGTAGAACGGCGGAAGCGAAGTGTCGGTGCGAAGAAACAGCGACAGGTCAGCAGTCGAAGGAGCAAACCCAAGGGCCGTAAGCGTCGTCCTCAGTGTGCGTGCTACTCGCGAGGCGCCTGACGGAGACCGTAGACTGGCCGCCTGAGGCTCGAGTGGGTACTTGCAGGAAACGACCCAGTGAAGCCACGTAGGCGGCGCAGCCATATCTCCTCGTGCAGGGTGCCCTGCAAGAAAGCAGTGCTGAAGTCAAGGGAGTGAAGCTCGTAGTCACGCTAAGCGGCGACGTGCAGCAGAACCTGAGTGGTCATCTTCGGGGTAGGGGACAAGGTCTGGAAGAAGTCAACTCCCTGTCTCTAATCGAAGCCTCGAGCAACGTAACGCGCCTTGAAGACAAGCGGAGAACCCGGCGGCCGCTTCACCCTGAAAATCCACATGCCACTGACGATGTTCGCCCAAGGTGGGAAAAGTGCGTCAACGTAATGTCAGAACATTATAGCTCATGCATATTGTTTAGGCTATAGTGGGGTAGCCCATAAGGGGTACAAACCAATTAGGGTTAGTACTTGTACCCAATTCATTCATAGTTCATCTCATCCTCGTTTCTTCTCATGGTATCGAGCACGTTCCCTAACGGGAACGATTCCTAGGGCCCACCACTACGAAATTTTTTTTTTTCCTACCCGGAGCGCGCTCCGCTAAGGCCCAAGTCGCGCCTCGTGTGCTTTCCTTACCGTTGCGCCCTCGCTAGGCCCCTCACGGCCCCGTCGCGTCGCCCTTAGCGGCCCCTCGTGGCCTCGTCGCGCTGCCCTAGCGGTCGCGTCGCGCCGCCCTAACGACCGCGTCGCGCCGCCCTAGCCGCCCTCACGGCCCCCTAGCGGCCTCTTGTGGCCCCGATCCGCCGCCCTTGCGGCCCCGATCCATCGCCCTTCGCGGCCCGTCGCAGCTCTCTCCCTGCGGCTCCCTCGCCGCCCTTTCACCAGCGGCCCCGTCGCCGCCCTTGCACGGCCCTGCCGCTGCCCTCCCTGCGGCTCTTTCGCTGCCCTCTTTAGCAGCCCGTCGCCGCCCTTCTCAGAGGCCCCGCCGTCTCCTTTCAGCGGCCCCGCCACTACCCCTGCAGCGGCCTCGTCGCCGCCCTTTGAGCGGCCCCGCCGCCTCCTTTAAGCGGCCTCGCCGCCTCATCTCGGCGGCCCCGCCGCCTCCTCTCTGCGGCCCCGCTACCTCCTCTCGGCAGCCCCGCCGCCTCCTCTCCGCGGCCCCGCCGCCTCCTCTCGGTGGCCCAGCCGCCTCCTCTCAGCGGCCCCGGACGCCGCCCTCTCAGTGGCCCTTCCGCCGCCTCCTTTGCGGCCCCGCAAAGCCGCCCAGCAGCAGAGCCGCCAAGCCGCCCAGCAGCCGAGCCCCCGAGCCGCCCAGCCGCCCAGCAGCCAAGCCCCCGAGCCGCCCAGCCGCTGAGCCGCCCAGCAGCCGAGCCGCTAAGCCACCCAGCTGCCGAGCCGACGAGCCGCCCTGCAGCCGAGCTGCCGAGCCGCCCAGCAGCCGAACCGCCGAGCCGCCCAGCAGCCGAGCCGCCGAGCCGCCCAGTAGCCGAGCCGCCGAGCCGCCCAGCAACCGAGCCGCCGAGCCGCCCAGCTGCCGAGCCGCCTACCGCCCAGCTGCCGAGCCGCCGAGTCGCCCTGCGGCCGAGCCGCTCGAGCCGCCCTGTCTAGTAAGAGCAGCGCCTCTGTCACTGCAGTGCCCTCACCCTACTGTTTGCGCTGCTAGTCTACTGCTTTCATGGCTACCCCTAGTTTCCTTGCTTTTGACGCTGAGGGTCGGGCCATTGACTTTGACGTCTGGATAGATGACCTACATCTTTTCATACAATGTGATAGGGCGAACGGTCTCTCTCTCTTTGACCTCACCTCGGGTGCCTCTCCTGCCCCTGCTGCTGATGCTGACGCCACTGCCCGCTCACAGTGGGCCATACGCGATGCTGCTGCACGTCTTGCTGTGCGTCGCCACCTACCTACATCTGAGCGTGCGCACTTTAGCCAGTATACGAGTGCTCAGACCTTGTACGACGCTGTAGTTGCACGCTACTCCTCCCCTGCCACTGCTGCACTGAGCCGCCTCATGCTACCATACCTCTTCCCTGACCTTGCTGCCTTTCCCACAGTTGCTGACCTTATTACGCACCTCCGCACTAGTGACACTCGCTACCACGCTGCGCTTCCTGCTGAGTTCTGCGCCAAGAACCCCCCCCCCCATGTACATCACTCTCTACTACATAGTCACCCGTCTCCCTGACTCCCTTTGCGTAGTCAGGGACCACTTTCTCTCGGCCTGTCCCACCACTCTCACTGTTGACCTCCTCCACAAGGCCCTCCTAGCAGTGGAGAAGAGCATAGTGGCTGTAGGAGCCTCTCGTGGTGACCCGCGCACCCCCATCTTTGAGGGGTGTTCCCCCTCCCCCCCTTTTGGCCTCTGTTGCCTCTACTGCTGCGGCCGACCTCTTTGGGCTTGAGGCGGTCGGTGCGGCGTCTACCCCTAGTGGGAGACGCCGCTCTGGCAAGGGCAAGGAGGGCAGGGGCGCTGGAGGAGCTAGCGGGGGCGGTGGAGGCGGCCGTGGAGGCGGCGGAGGGAGTGGGGGTGGCGGTGGGGGTGGTGGCGGGGGTGGAGGTGTTGGTGGCGGCAGTGGAGGCGGAGGCGGCGGCGGTGGCGGTGGGAGCGGAGGTGGTGGAGGTGGCGGAGGTGGAGGAGGCGGTGGTGGAGGAGGAGGAGGAGGAGGTCGTGGCTCTTCGCAGAGGAGTGGCTCCGGTGGTGGTCAGCGCCAGCAGCAGCAGCGCAGTCAAGAGACCCTGTCCCCTCAGGAGCTCCGTGAGTGGTACGCTGCACGCCAGCAGGGTGGGGGTACTGGGGGTGCTACGCCTGGGGGTGCTACGCTCGGGGGTGCTACGCCTGGGGGTGCTGAGCCTGGGGGTGCTGAGCCTGGGGGTGCTTCGCCCGGAGGTGCTGAGCCTGGGGGTGCGGAGCTTGAGGGAGCTGGGCCTGCAGGTGCTGTGCTTGGCGGTTCTCCGGTTGCTTCTTCTCGCCGGGAGCCACTCTCTCCACAAGAGCTGCATGAGTGGTTTGCCCGGCGCTGGAGGCGAGCTGCTGGAGCTAGAGGTGCTGCGGATACTGGAGGTTCGGTTGCTGCTGAGGGAGCTGGTGCCAAGGGTCCTGGAGGTGCTCGTACTGGGAGTACTGGAGCTGCTGGACCTGCGGGTACTTCTGGAGCTGGAGCTGGTGCGGGTGTTTGCGCAGAGGCCACTGCTGTCGGTCCTAGAGGCGGTCCTGCTGGGGGTACTACTGGTGCTGCTTGGGGTATTGGAGGTGGAGCTGCTACTGGTGCTGGTGTTTCCACTGGGGGTATTGGTGCTGTCCGTGTTGTGTCTGGAGTTGACGCGCGGCCTCGGCCGTACTTCGTTCCGCTCCTTCAGCAGGTTCTTGGTCTTCCCTCTTCTACTGGTCCTCCTCCTCCCTTAGAGTGTCCACAGCCTATCCCGTCACAGTTACAGTTATAGCCGGCCTCCCCACTCCCAGCTCCGTCTCCCTACACTAGTCCTACAGGAGGTCTTGCTGAGCGCCGTGAGCCTGCGTCTTGCCCTGCCTCACCTGTCCGTGCTGCTCGCACTAGTGGTCGCGGTTCGCGTCAGCGTCCTCCTTCTGTCCTTGGCACGCACCGGATGTCTCTGCGTCTGTCCACTGCTCCTGTGCGTGCCCCTTTGCCTTCTCCTCCTGAGCCTTCTTTTCCTGCTCTTCCCGACCCGTGGTCGGACTCTCTTCGTGCTGCCAGTCCTATTGTCACGCGTCTCCTTGCTACTGTTGTCACTGACCCTTCCTTTGAGTCCACTGCTGCGTCTGCCCTAGTTGCTGAGCTCGTCGACTTTGCTGCTCGCTGTCGCCTAGACTACGCCGCCAGTCTTGTTGCTGAGTCTGAATCTGTCTGTCCTCCGTCCGTCGGGGGTGAGTGTGCCCTTGGCACGGACGTCCTTGAGGACAGGCAGGAGGAGTTCCAGTGCTTGGCCGCTGCTTCACCTCATCTCGTGTCCGTACTGCTTACCCCTGAGGGAGACCCGGATGCACTTGACATCCCGACTCCGCGCTCTTACGCGGAGGCGATAGAGGGTCCCGACTCCTCTTAGTGGCAGGCAGCTATGGACACAGAGATGGCTTCCTGGAAGTCCACAGGCACCTACGTTGACGCTGTTCCCCCTCCTGGGGCAAACATCGTTAGTGGGATGTGGATCTTCAAGGTGAAGCGACCGCCGGGTTCTCCGCCTGTCTTCAAGGCGCCTTACGTGGCTCGTAGCTTCAGTCAGCGGCACGGAGTTGACTACTTTCAGACCTTCTCTCCCACCCCGAAGATGACTACTCTTCGGGTACTGCTGCACATAGCTACTCACCGTGACTACGAGCTGCACTCTCTTGACTTCAGCACTGCTTTCTTGCAGGGCAGCCTGCACGAGGAGATCTGGCTGCATCGCCCACCTGGTTTCACTAGGTCTTTTCCTCCAGGCACCCAGTGGAGCCTCCGACGGCCAGTCTACGGTCTCCGCCAGGCACCGTGTGAGTGGCACGACACACTGAGGACTACACTTGCGGCTCTTGGGATTGCTCCCTCTACTGCCAACCCATCGCTGTTTCTGCGTACCGACACTTCTTTGCTGCCGTTCTACATCCTCGTGTACGGCGACAACTTGGTCTTTGCCACAGGTGACACTGCTGGACTCGCCCACGTGAAGTCTGAGCTGCAGAAGAGACACACGTGCACACATCTGGGTGAACTGCGCAGCTACCTTGGCTTGCAGATCACTCGGGACAGAGCACGCCGCACCATTACCCTGACTCAGTCACACATGGTGCAGCAGGTCCTTCAGCGCTTCGGCTTCACGTACTCCTCGCCTCAGGCCACTCCTCTGCCTACTCGCCACTCGCTCTCAACTCTGCCTTCAGATGAGTCCGTGAAGTCGAGTGGCCCGTACCCAGAGCTTGTTGGCTGCCTCATGTACCTGATAACCTGCACACGACCTGACCTTGCATACCCTCTTAGCATTCTTGCACGCTATGTTGCTCCTAGGAGACACAGACCGGAGCACATGGCTGCAGCGAAGAGGGTGTTGCGCTACTTGTGCAGTAAGTCGGGCATGGGGCTTGTGCTGGAGCTGCTGGACCTGCGGGTACTTCTGGAGCTGGAGCTGCTGCGGGTGTTGGCGCAGAGGCCACTGCTGTCGGTCCTAGAGGCGGTCATGCTGGGGGTACTACTGGTGCTGCTTGGGGTACTGGAGGTGGAGCTGCTACTGGTGCTGGTGTTGCCAGTAGTCCTCACTGGGCACGCAGACGCTTCTTGGGCAGACGACCAGGCTACGCAGCGGTCGTCACAGGGTTACACCTTCAGCCTTGGTTCCGGCTCTGTTTCGTGGCCGGCTACTCGCTCGTCTTCTGTTCTCGGCTCCAGCTGTGAGGCTGAGATCTACGCAGGAGCCATGGCTGCACAGGAGCTTCGCTGGCTCACCTACCTGCTGACTGACCTCGGAGAGCCGCCTTGTTCTCCTCCAGTGCTGTACGTAGACAACAAGGCCATGCTGGCCTTGTGACGGGAGCAGCGACTGGAGCACAGAACGAAGCACATTGCTCTCTGCTACTTTCTTGCTCGTGAGCTGCAGCAGCGTGGTCAGCTGCGTCTTGCGTACGTGGTTTCTGAGGCCAACACTGCTGATATCTTCACCAAGGCGCTTGCGCCTTGTGACCATCAGCGCTTCTGTACTCAGCTGGGCCTTGTGCCTACCTTGCCTCGCTTGCTCACCTCTTGACCTTGCTTGTACTGTTACATATATATATACCTGCTCTTGCTTATCTAGCCTTTTTATATATATGTACTCCTGCATGTGAACTGGCCTTGTGGCCTTGAACTTGTGCTCGGAATGTGTGGTGACTTTGTGATCCACCCTGAGCTTTCTTTGCTTTGCTTTGCCTGACTGGTCTTGTGACCCCTTGTTCTCCCCCACTTTGCCTATGGGGGATTGTCAGAACATTTTAGCTCATGCATATTGTGTAGGCTATAGTGGGGTAGCCCATAAGGGGTACAACCCAATTAGGGTTAGTACTTGTACCCAATTCATTCATAGTTCATCTCATCCTCGTTTCTTCTCACGTAAGTGCCTGTGGACTTCGAGGATGCCATCTTTACGTCCATGGCTAACAGCCACTGCGAGGAGTAGGGACCCTCAATCGCCTCTGCGTAAGGGCGTGGGGTCGGGATGTTTGGTGCATCTGGGTCTCCCTCCGGTGCAATCAGCATGGACACGAGATGAGATACAGCAGCTGCAATGCACTCAAAGTCCTCCTGCTTGTCCTCAAGGACGTCCGTGCCAAGAGCACACTCACCCCTAACTGGCGGAGGAAAGACAGACTCTGACTCAGCAACAAGACTAGTGGCGTAGTCTAGACGAAAGCGAGCGGCAAAGTCGACAAGCTCAGCATCGAGGGCAGACGCAGCCGCAGACTCAAACGAAGGGTCAGTGCTAGCAGTGGCGAGGAGACGTGTGAAAGTAGGTCTGGCAGCACAAGCTAAGTGAGACTCAGAGTCCGGAACGTGCGAAAGAGAGGACGCAAGAGGAGACGGCAGGAGAACACGCTGTGGAACAGAGGAAGGACGAAGTGCCATAGTGTGCGTGCCGGGGACAGGGGGAGGACGCTCACGAGGAACATGACGACCAGCGCGAACAGGCGAGGCAGGATGAGATGCAGGCTCACGACGCTCTGTAAGCGAGTCCATCTGCTCAATGTAAGGAGAAGGAGCAGGGACCAGAGAGTCTGGCTGTAACGGTAGGCTAGTAGAAGACGGGAGGCTAAGAGCCTAGCAAAGCATGGAGTCAGGCGGTGGCAAAGGCGAGGGTGACGGCGGAGCGAAGAACAGTCGCTGCTGAGCAGTACCACCAGCACTAGTACCAGCAGTACGAGTACCAGCGGCTCCAGCGCCTCCAGCAGCTCCAGATGCTCCAGCTCCAGCGCCTTTAGCTCTAGCGCCTCCAGCTCCAGTACCTCCAGCTCCAGCGCCTCTAGCTCCAGCGCCTCCAGCGCCAGCGCCTCCAGCGCCAGCGCCTCAAGCTCCAAAGCCCGCAGCACCACCAGCTCCAGCAGCTCCAGCACCTCTAGGACGAGCACCAGCTCCTCCAGCAGCAGCACCCCAAGAACCGGCACCTCCAGCTCCAGGTTCTCCTACTCCAGGGTCGACAGGACCAGCTCCAGGGCCTCCAGCTCCAGTGCCTCCAGCAGCAGCACCCCCAGAACCGGCACCTCCAACTCCAGGGTCTTCAACTCCAGGGTCTACAGCACCAGTTCCAGGGCCTCCAACTCTAGTGCCCTCAGCAGCACACCCCCAGAATCGGTACCTCCAGCTCAAGGGTCGACAGCACCAGCTCCAGGTCCCCCAGCTTCAGTGCCTCCAGCAGTAGCACCCCCAGAGCCAGCACCTCCAGCTCCAAGGCCTCCAGCTCTAGCGCCTCCAACTCCAGTGCCTCCAGCTCCGGCACCTCCAGTAATAGTGCCTCTAGCTCCAGCAACGCGACTCCGAAGGCGGGTGCGCGAAGCAAGCCACTCACGCAGCTTCTGCGGCGAAGAGAGGTGACCGCTGTGACGCGGCACCAGGAGGACCTCCAGCAGACTCAGCACCCCGAGGCTCAGCACCAACAGACTCAGTACCCCTTGGGCCAGCACCTCGAGGGCCAGCACCTCCAGCTCCAAGGTCTCGAATTCCAACGCGCGGGTCTTTAGCTCCAGTGCCTCTAGCACCACGGACCCTGGCAACTTGAGTACCTCCTGTACGAGCACCTCCAGGACCCTCAACGCCAGCAGTGCCAACACCCTCAGCGCCAGCAGTATCACCAGTCCTGGCCGCTCCAGTACCTCCAGTACGAGCACCTCCAGAACCAGAAACACCAGCACCCCCAGCGCCTCCACGACGAGCAGCTCAAGCAGTTCCAAATGCAGCACCTC